TGAAGGAAGAAGGGAGAGAGGAGAGGGGAGGAGACAGAAGAGAACAGAAAAAGAAATCAAAGGAGGAATCAAACCACCCAAAAATTGTTAGTTTTCCTTTGTCCATTCTTTTTGCTTTCTTCTTTTTTTTTCCTGTCTTTTTTTTTTTTTAAAGCTTTTTCAGTTGATTGGGGGGGCGGGGAGTTTGAGGCTCTTCACCCCTGTCCCTGACACCCTCTCTCAGCCCCGCCCACCCGCTTCCGTCCACCCTGGCTGAGGGACAGGCCCTGCCCCAGCCGCCCCCACCTCCGGCTTTCCCGAAGACAACGTCCATGAGGTATTTGTGAAGAGAAAGAAGCATCCTTCCTTCCATCCGCCTTAGGGACCAAGGGCCTGGACCACTGGTGCAGGGGCTTGGCTCCACCTCGCGGCTCCTTCTTATTCTTGAAGAGTCCTCATCTTCTTTCCCTTAAATATATATATATCTCTATAAATTCTTTTTTTTTTCTAGTTTTAATTTATTGTTTGTTTGGTTTTCTGTTTTTGTTTTTTGTTTGTTTGTTTGTTTTTGGTTCGAAACTTTGTTGGCCTCCACAGTAGCAGGAGGGCAAGGCGGCTCCCAGTGGGGTCTCTCTGTCCATTGTCGAGACGTGTCCAGGGCCGGGCAAACACAGGGTCCAGCCAAGACTCGTAGAGGTCTCACGGGAGCGGTGGCCACCAGAGCGCCCTCTTGAATGGGGACCACAGGTCATGGCACTGTCCCCGCCTCATGGACCCTGATGGGGTTGCCATCCAGAGGAACCCACCACTGGGGTGCGTGTGTGTGTGCATGTGGGGGGAGGGAGAGGCATCTGCCAGTGTTGGAGGGGCACAGGGCGGGTGGAGCGAGGCGAGTCATCTTTTTGGTTTCCGGTTAATGTCAAAGAACATGAAGGATCCCACGGATAGGCACTGGAATATGAATTTGTTTTCAGGGAAACTGACAGACAGGATGGAAAAAAAGACAATTTGAATGCCCTCACCTCATCTCCTTTTGCCTGAAATGTCCACCTTCCCATAGTCTGGGGAGGAGGTAGATTCCAGCGCAGAAGAGGGTGACAGGGCTGAGGAGGGACTTGTGAGAGCTGAACTTGGCAAAATGGCCTAGCCCACCCTTCAAAGGAAAAAGGGGGAGGTACAGGGGTTAAAAAGTCATCCCCAGGCCTTCCCCCGAACTCTCCCGGGGCCGGGAGGAGGAAGGAGGTTAAAGCAAGACCCCCTGCCCAGATGAGGAGAGTTGTGGTCAAGGAGGGAAGTGGGGACACATGATAGGGACACATTCCGTTGAGCACAAAAAATTCTGTACATCCTTTGGATGAAGCTACTGAATATTTGGTGTGAGGTTGTTCAGGCCCTTTCTCTTTCACCTTCTGGAAAAGAACATTTGGTGGAGGGTTCTGGGCCTAGTTCCTCTGCCCCAGACTGTGCCCTGTCTCTGCTGGCCCAGGGTTGAGGCTGGAGGCAGCAGGCTGGCACATTCTGTTTTTCCTTTTCCACCCCCGCTGGGAGGGGCAGGGTTGGGGGTTGACCCCACAGCCAGGGCTCACGGCCTGAGGTCCAACCTGCAGGAGGCTGTTCTGCGCCTGGCTGGGGTTCTTATTTGGCGTCGTAGCAGTGAGGGTGAGCACTCTGAGGTCTGGCTCGCGACTGGTTTTTTGGTTTGATTCTGTGGGGAATTTTTTTTGTTTGTTTTTGGTTTTTTTTTTTTGGTTGGTTTTTCACCTCTGGTTCCTTTGGGGCAGCTGGTTTCTGTTGTGATTATTTTTGGTTTTCTTTCTTGTTGGTTAGTTTCTTTCTTGTCTTTTCTTTCCGTCTTTCTTTCTTTCTTTTTTTTTCCTTTTGGTCGGTTGGTTGGTATTTTTGGTCTTTCCTCCCTTGTTACTCCTGTTCCGAGGACCCGCTGCATCCCCACCAGTGGCCTCTTCGCCCTCTTCCCAGGCTGGGGACCAAGGTGGGGGTCGGAGGAGTGGGAGGGGAGGCACGGTGGGCCCTCACTCAGGCTTGGACCCTGCCTCGGGCCCCCCTGGGCCTCCAGGGGTCTGTGCTGCCCCCTCGCTGCAAGTGGAGGAGGACGAGGATGAAGAGGATGAGGAGGAGAGGCCAGGAGACTTGCTGGAGATGGAGGCTGCCACGGCCGCAGCCGCTGCTGAGACCAGGCCCACGGCCGGAGGGGCGCTGAGCAGGGGCAGTCCGGCGTGGTTCAAGAAGAGCGGCGAGGTCACCAGGCTGGGGCTCCCTGGGGCTGCGCTGGCTGCCCCCAGCACCAGGTTCCCGCTGCCATCAAGGCTGGTAAGGGGCAGGGTTCCACCAGAGGCCAGGGCTGGTGGGGAGAGAGAGAGGCTGGGCTGGGGGCACGCCAGGCCCGGGGAGACCTTCGCCCCCAGCTGTCTCCCCGTCCTTCCTTCCCAGTGCCCCGTCAGCACCCTTCACACCTTCCCCAAAGGCGAGATGGGGATGAAGAGGCGAGCGATGCAGTGAGCAGGGGCAGGGCGGCATGGTTGGAGCAGCAATGGGGGGCTCGGGGCCCCAAGGGGCAGGACTGGTGGCGATGGGGGTGACATGAGGCAGCACGCACCTTGGATAGTGGCCAAAGGGTTGTTGCTCACCAGGGCTGGACTCAGCCCGGAGCTCAACCCTACCATTGTGCTTCTGCAAGAGCAAAGCAGAGGTGTTAGCGGGGCGAGAACCTGAGGCGGCACTGGGGTGCAGCTCCCCACCCTGGAAGCAACAGCGACCCTGCTTCTCCCCACAGCCTCCCCGCCAGTAGCTGCACACTTACCCCGTGCTGGGGTTCAGGCCCGACAAGCCGATAGCCGAGTGGCTGCCTTGAGGGCTGGGGTTTGTGCTGTTGGTGGTGGCCGGGGGTGGGGGAGTGACAGAGGGGATGGAATTGAGGGGGGGCACGGCCCCGCCGCCGCCCCCACCCCCTCCAGCTGTCCGGCTGGGGTGGAGCGTCCCCACAGCTGAGGATAAGGTAGTAACTGCCAGAGAGAGACAGAGATGGGGTCTTCAGCTTCCACCGGTCCCCATGGAGGAGGCCAGGGTCAAGCCCTGCTGGTCATCCGTCCCTTCCACCTCACTCAGGATCTCCCCAGCCAGGAAAGACCTAAACTTCCCTGCCCATCTTCCCAGAGCCCGGATGCGTTTCCTTGTGCCTCTGCCATGGGTACAGCGCTCACAATAATCTTAGCAGGAGCAGCTGCCACTACTGACCCTGTGCCCTGAACTGCGTCCAAGCAGACAGAAAGAGGGGCACCTAAGAGACAAACCCTGAGGGTTCTCTCCAGGCTCCAGGAAGCAGGGAGCAAGGGTCAGACACAGCTCAGGAATGGGCAACACAGGGAGGGGGGAAGGCTCAAGTAGCCTGGTGGGGACAGAGATTCCTGGCTCTGTATGTCCCTGCTGTGTCCCTGGCTGAGTGCCTTAACCTCTCTGACCCTCAGCTCCCCTATCTGGAAAACGGGGATAACAGAACCTATCTCGTTAAATGGATGTGAGAATTAAATCAGTCGATATATCTTCTTTTGAGTTTTTTTTGGAGGCAAGTTCTACCTGTGCAGTACAGTGGGCTGGCCTTGAACTCACTGTATAATCCAAGCTGGCCTCAGACTCATGATCCTCCTTAGCCTGGTGTGTGGGCACACGCCTGTAATCCTAACACTCTGGAGCTGAGGCGGGAGAATCACCACGAGTCACCTGAACTACATAGCAAGATCCTGTCTCAGAAAAAGTAGGGAAAAAAAAAAAAAAGAACCACATGATCCTCCTGCCTCAGCCTCTGGAATGCTAAGAGTAGAAGCATGCAGTGCCGGGGCTGGGAGTTTAGCTCAGTGGCACAGTGCCTGCCTGGCGAGTACAAGGTCATGACTTCGATTCCCGGTATCAGGAAAACAAAACAAACAACAAAAAAAAGCATGCAGTTCCATGTCTAGCTTTTTTTTTCCAGGATTGGAGATTGCACTCATGAGCTCGCACATGTTAGGCAAGCACCTACTACTGAGCTACATCCCCAGCCACTTCTTGTTTTGTTCTTTGAGACAAGTCTCCTAAATTGCCTGTGCTGACCTGGAACTTGCACGTCTTCCTGCCTCCTCCTCCTGAGTAGCTGGGATCATGGGCATGGGCCACCATGCCCAGCAGTCAATATACTTTATAAAGAGCTTAGAACAGTGCTAGGCATCATCCTCTTACTAATCCTGAGAGGGCAATATGAGATATATATATATATAAGTGAGATATATATATATATATGTGTGTATATATATATATATATATGAGATACATATATATAAAAAATTTTTCCCTGTGCTAGTGTTCAAACCTAGAGCCTTGTATGTGCTAGGCAAGTGCTCCACCACTGACTGATATTCTCCATCCCTACGCTCTTGTATGTATATATTTATGGATATATACATTCTGTGTGTATTATACATTCATAGTAATTTCATAAAAACTGAGGCTCAGAGAAATAAAGTAACTTCTTGAATTCACATAGCTTATAAAAACCCAAAGGCCAGGAATGGTGGCCTGTAATTCCAGAACTCCAGGAGGCAGAGGCTGGAGGATCACTCTGAGTTCGAGGCCAGCCTGGGCTACCTGGTGAGGTCAAGGCCAGCCTGAACTACACAGCGAAACTCTGTCAAAAAAACCCAGAACAAACAAACAAAACCCAAGGATGTCCTGTTTTAGCAACCCCATGTTTTTCCTTACAGGGACTCCTGTAGCAGATGAGAGTCCAGCTGCTCTGGTGAAAGAGGAGTGGGGTCTGCCCTCGGTCTTCCCCATGGCCCCCACCCCTCCAGACTCAGCTTTGAGGCCCATGGCCACCCAGAGCCACGGGAGAACCTCAGGCTGCAGCCCGTGCTATGTCCTCCCAGCCCCCCTCACCAGCTTCTGCCCTCCCTGACCTGTTGTGCTCAGGCTGCTGGAAGCTTGGGACAATGGTAAGGTCCCTGCACCCCCTTGGGGTGTGACCTGCGGAGAGAGGAAAGGAGGTACAGTTAGGCCGCTGTTTCCTACTGTGCAATCCCCCATGCTTCCTGGGCTTAGAACACCCACTGCCCTGGCCCCAGGATTGGCGGGGGAGGCTTTGAATATAATGCTACGTTCATAGTATGTCTGCATTTTCCGTCACATCCTTCTTCACATTTAGCTTAGGTCAGTGGTGGCGAACCTGTGGCACAAAGGCACATCAGATAACAGCTGTCTTTTCTAAACTAAAACCTCCGTATTCAAGTTTAACCATAGTGCTGGCACTTTGCGATAAATAAGTGGTTTTGGGATTGCAGTTCGGACGCTCAGTCTCTAAAAGGTTTGCCATCACTGTCCTAGGTGATCCTGAGCCACAAGCGGGAGGGAATAGTTCTCCACAGAGAGGGCCTCCCGCTTCCCATCTGCTCCCACCCAGGCTGAGTGAAGTGTAGTATCCTGTCTGCACCTCAAGAGCAACTGCCTCAGTTCTCCTAGAATGAACACACTTGCCCTTTTAAGAGTGGGGCCGGCAAGCAGTGCAGGAGAAGCTGCCTGCTGGAACTCAGGCAAGGAAGGAGCAGGCCTGAAGGGTGTCTCTGTATGCGTGGGGGGCTTGAGGATGAACTGCTGCAAGTCTTTGTGTCGCAGTATTAGAATGTCACATTACTTGACTTTCTGGGATCACCCTCTGTCCTCCTTCCCGGCTTCCCTCCCTCCAGTCTCACCTTTCTACCAACCTCAGAAGCCTCGCTGAATTCAACTCTGCCCATCCCCAATTTAAAAGTCCTCCTCACCTCTTTCCTGCCCGTGGTTCAAAATCATTGTGAAACTTAACGTGTCTGCCTCTACCTGGCCCTATGTTCATTCATATAAATTGTGACACCAATCGCACTGAACTGCACCCGAGTTCCTTCAAGCGGGCTTGGCACTCTGGTATCTATGCAAACCGGTCCCCTCACCTACGAGGCTCTTTTTCATGAGACTGGCTAATTCTCTTATCTTCTGTGGCTCAGTTCAGAGGGTCCTTCCTTCCTACATGACCTGGGGCAGGGGACCCTTCTCTGGAGCACCGCAGCCCTTTGCATGAGTTGAAATACAGGAATGGCATAAAAGATGTTCCAGATATTTGCAGTACCAAGCAGGCCTGTGTGTAGCTGTGATCCTGACGGGACCTCCTTGGGCACAACGATGTGCCTGCCAGGTAAGCAATACCTCTTCCAGTCTGTGTGGACACTGAGTGTCGCTCCCTGGACCATTTCCGGGGCGTATGCATCCGCCCCTGTGTGGCTATGTCCCTGTGATAACTGGCTCTGTTGGTATGTATCAGCGTGTGCTTGTGACCCACAGAAGACCTGGAAAATGTGTGTCCCTATGTGACAGCCTGTCTTCAAGGGAAACTCTCTTGGCTCCAGTTCTAGGCTCCGGACAATCAGGTAGGTTTGCTTCACACAGGTGCCTGTCCGGCTTGCCCTCCCCACCCCCACAGGGCTCTCAGTACCAGATGGGGGCTGTAGCTGGCTGGCTTTCCCGGGCTGGGCAGCATGGGGGCTGCGCTGCAAGGGTTGATGCGCTTCTCCTTCTGGCGCCGGTTACAGAACCAGACTCGGATCACTTCCTTCTCCATGTGCAGCTGCTCAGCAATCAGCAGGATCTCCTCTGAGGTAGGCTTCTGGTTCTGTGGACAGAGGACTGGTTAGCTCCGGCCCTTCCTTGTGCCATCCCTGTGATCCACCGCGGAGGGTGAGATCTCACCGCTAGGAAACTCTTCTCTAAGGCGAAGCGGACGTTCGTCTCGATGCTGGTCCTCTTCTTGCGCCTCCGGCCCGGCAGCCCATCAAAACCCAGGCTGGGGCTGCTCAGCTGGTTGGGGCTGGGCAGGCTGGAGTCCACAGACATAGTCTCTGCGCCAGGGAGAAGACGTGGGCTTCAGAAGCCACTTCCCCAGGCCACCCACCTCCGACCCACCTCCTGCCCTCTGTGACCTGGGAGTCTCCGCCCAAGCCCACCTGCGTCGTTGAGCCACTTCTCCAGGAGGGGCTTCAGCTTGCACATGTTCTTGAAGCTCAGGTTGAGGGCCTCGAAGCGGGAAATGGTCGTCTGGCTGAAGTCATTGCCATAAAGCTTGCCCATGGCCAGGCCCACATCACCCTGGGCCGGTGGGGTGGAAATGGGGCAGAGGTCAGGGTAGGGTCTTCTGGCACCGGGCTATCCAGCCAACTAGCAGCCCACGCTGCCCCTCACACTGCCCACTGCCCGGCCGGCCAAGTAGTCCCAGACCTGCGTGAAGCCCAGCTTGATGCGGCGTTGCTTGAAGGTTCGGGCGAACTGCTCTAGTTCCTCCAGATCACTGGGCTCCTCGGGGTGGGATGGCGGCTCCAAGCATTTAGGGGGCTGCGGGTGTGAGAAGTGCGGGTCGGGCAGCGTGGGGCGCGTCACGGCCTGGTGGGGCAGGCGGGTGAGTGGGATGCAGGACGGAGGAGCAGGGTGATGCTCAGCAATGGCTGTGTGGTCCCCACTCCCTCCAACAATCAAGCCCCTCTTCCCGCAGACTGCCTTCCCTTGCCCAAGGAGCCTCTCCACACTCGCTGTGGATCTGACCAAGGTGTGACTGCTGCCTCGCAGGGAGCAATGAATGCCTGGGACTCGCTGCACTGTCCCTCCGAGCTTGCAAACGCTCAGGAGGAGCAGCTGGCTCCTTTGCTAAGCGCTCTTTCTCTGGATCTCTCTCTGGGGAGAGATCTCATGTTCTTCTTCGCCTGCCACAAAATAAAGACTGGCTCTGCCACTGCACTGCCGCGTAGTTTGGGGTAAGCTCCTTAACCGCCCTGGGCGCTGCTTTTCCCTCTGTAGGACAGACACCACTGCTGTTCTGCCTGATGGGTTGGTGTAGGGTCACAGATTGTAGAACATGTAGCACTCCGATCAAGAGTGTTGATAATGGGGAAGGCAATGTATGGGGGGGTGGAAGGTGTATGTGATCTTGATCTTTCATGTAGTTTTGCTGTGAGCTAAAATCGCTCTAAAAGATAGGTCTTAAAAAATTAGTACACAGCATGTGAAGTACAAGTATTTAAAAACGGTCAGAGAGGACAATTAGGGCCACCGACAAAGAAACAAAGCTCTGCCTGTAAGGCTTCATTGCCCTGAAAATAAAAAAGGTCTGAGGCAGGTGGTGGGTGCAGTGAGGTCTGTCGTGCAGATCCCTGACGATCCAAACCCCTGCAGCCCCAGAGCTTTTGTGGAGATCAGAAGTTTTTCAGATTTTAGGAAGCCTGTCTAGGGCACAAATTATAAACAGTGTGATGCCCCAGTCAGGATCAGGGGTCACCGCATAATCAGACACATTAGTACTTCTGCAGTAGCAGAACCACACCAAGGGGGATAAGGAAAGGTCATACACCGCTTCATGGCAGGCAGGGCAGCTTTTGGTGCCAGTGTTCCAAGAACACCTTGACTTTCGAAGCATTTTGAATTTCAGCACTGCAGCCAAGACCTGGATTGGCCTCTGAACTTTTCAGTCTTTCTGAAACAGTTCATATATATTTTTTTGGTTCTGGTGCTGGGCATTGAACTCAGGGGCCCAAGCATGCTCCAGCACATGCTCTACCACTAAGCTACTCTCCCACTCCTGCAACCCTGATATATTTTTGAAAGGACTGGAAAAAATGAATAGGAAAAATTTTAAGTGCGTCAAGGGTGTCAGAAGATTCTTCTTAAAATCTTAAACCCAGGCAGCAAACTGAAAGCTTTAGAGTCCACGCCGTAGAACACTGAAGTGCCGGGAGAGCTGGGCTCCCACCTAAGGGTGCAAGTGTGATGGCCGTGGGTCCAGGCCGGCCAGATATTCCAGTTTGTGAAGAGAAGCTGAAAATTGGCCCTTTCTGGGAATTAAGTTGACAAAGGCCAAATGGAGCTCAGAGAACTCTCAGTCTCAGGGTTAAAAGAGACCTCTGAGGTATTCCTAACCTAGAGGCTTGCAACCTTCTGAAATTTTGTGTTTGTGTAGATGTACATTTTGGGGGAATGGGGATCAGACCTAAATCCTTCATCAGATTCTCAAAGGAGTCCATGAGCCTGAAAGGATTAAGACCCACTAGCCTGGTTCAGTTCAGTCACCTAGCCAGGAAATGTGCCTTACTTGAGGTCCCACAGCAAATCAGTGGCAGAGCAGGCTGGGCCCCAGCTTCCCCAGTTGCTATCTTGGCCCCGTGGCTGTGGAGTGGGCCAGTGGAGAGGAGATTCACCCCCTCACACCACTCGCACTCCCCCAGTCCTCAGCTGGCCCTGCTGCTAGCTTAGCCTGGAGAATTCAGTAGACAGTCTCACCTGTGTGGGAAGCCCGGCCCGGGGCTGGGAGGTCAAAAGAGCTCCCTGGGTTTGCTGAGGTAGCTGGAATAGATTTGGCGTCGGTAGCAGGCCTGGGGAGACAAGGAGGGGACACAGGGGATGAGGGGGGCAGGTAAAGGAAGACTGGTGGAGGCGCCAGGGAGGCTGTCTGTAGGGCCTTACCTGGCTGACTCTGCTGGGCCTGCGGCAGCAGGAACTGAGCAGGTGTCTGGAGGTGGTGGCCTGGCACAAGCACTAGCTGCTGGAGCTGCAGGAGCTGCTGTATGTCCTGGCAGGGAGGAGATGGACAGAAAGACGGCCTGAGTCCTGGTGGCGTTCCTCCTTCTCTGCATTATCTGAGCCACAAGGGGCTGAGAGCAGGAAGGAGGCCATGTGGCACCAGGCAGCGAGGGTCATCCACCTGTCTGAGTAGCACTCCGAGCTGAGAGCACCCAGGGGCTTCTCTCAAACATGGGACACCGGAGCGTCCCAAGTGGGTGGTCCCACAAGGGCTCACTCTTTATTTACTTTTTCCTGCCTGGTGAAATTTTTACCTTGTCTTACATTCCTACCAAATAATAGACTTTTTAATAAAATATAAACCAGAATAAGTCATCTTTTTAAAACACAAGGAAATGATACTATGTCTGGAATCAGCTTTACAATCCCCAGAAAACAGTGAGTTTGTAAGTTGATACAACCACCACTATAGATTGAAAAAAGATATGATGGACTCCTCACCCCCAGAATCTTGGGGTGCGAATGCATTTGGAACTAGGGTCTTTGTAAGTGATTACATTAAAATGAGGTCACTGGGGTGGGCTCTAATCCATTATGACCCATGTCCTCATAAAAGGGCAAATTTGGACACAGACACAGATAGAAGAAAGGTGTGAATAGGCACGGAACACAAGACCATTGAGAAGTCAAGGAGAGAGGCCTGGAACTGATCCTTTTCTACAGCCCACAGAATGGGCCCTACCTACCAACGCCATTACAGATTTCTGGCCTCCAGGACTGTGAGACAAGAACTGTCTGTTGTGAGTCAGCCACCTTGTGCTTCTCTGTCACAGCAGCTCCAGCAAACCATGACAGGCACTGTCTACCGAAACCAAACATACACCTCCTTATGACCCAGTAATTCCACTCTTGGGTTTAAACCACCATAAATGCGTGCATGTGTCCTCCACGGACATATACGAGAATGTTCACGCAGACCATCTGAAATAGCCAAATCCTGAAGATGGCCCCGGTGCCCATAGATAGCTAGCCTTAGTAGAGTGGGTCAATTCAATGGGATACCTCCACAATGAGAACGAGCAGCCACGATCTAAAATGACATCCAAACGCAGTAAGTGAAAGAAGCTAGTCACAATGGAGAACGTCCTGTGTGATTCTGTCTGTGTTCCATCTGCATACTGGAAGTTCAGGGAGCTTCTAGGTGCCCGTTATATGCGTATGCTCAGTTTGTGGGTATGCGGTGAGCTGTATACTTGAGACTTGTGCATGCTGCTGTATTCGCTGTACTTCAGTAAAAAGGTATTTTTAAGGGGAATGAGCCGGGGAAAGAGGAAGAGGGAAAAATCCGCCCCCCTCTAAGTCTAATTGAAATCCTATTTGCCAGTAGGACTGGAAAAATGTTCCTATCTATTGAGTTGGATTATGGGTTTGTTGGGTTCATTAAAGCATTCTCCCTATCTCCGTGTCTGTGTGAACATTTCCAAAAGAAAAAAAAATACACACACACACAAACACACGCATGCTCAAATAATCAAAACTCTTCACCTGGTCTGTCAGGCCTTCTCTACTGAGGCCTGTGCTGAGCTCCCTGACCTCACTCCTTCTGCCCTCTTCCTCTCTGGCTATGCTCCAACCATTCAGCCCCTTTCTCTTTTTGAAAAGCACCGAGCTTGTTTCTGCCTCAGGGCCTTTATAATACTGTTTCCTAGTCTATGGGGGGGTACAGTTCTTGCACACATTATATAAATCATCCCACCACCATGTCCGCCTTGATGACCCCCCTTTACATCTGCTTTGGAAGACTTTCCACACCTCTAGGTGTGGCTCTTTCCATTCACTCGTTCACAGCATGCCACCCTCCCTAGCATGGCAGCTGCAGGACAGCAAGATCTTCACGTGGGCACTACGCTAGCCTCAGCATGAGAACCACGTCTGGCAGCAGTAAGCGCTCTGCATGTGTGTGTGATGGTCCCAGACTGATACGTCATCACTTACTTTGCAAGTTTTATGTATACATAGTTGAAAGCGATGTTGTTATTTTTCCCTTCTGTGAAATCTGGGGTGTTGGCACACGCCCCCCCAATTCCTCTCAATGCTGACATTATTCTGAAGGCGTTTAACGTTCCAACACGTGAACTAATTGGGAAAAACATGAGCAACTTGAAAGAAAGGCTCACTTCTCTAATATATAAAGAGCAATTATAAATCCATAGGAGAAAAAAAAAACTAACGACATAGTACAGGTAGGCCTAGAGAGGGCCCATAAAGGAAATAAAATCAGCTCTGAATCAGAACATATTCAGATTGCTCACAGTAAAGTAAACAGAACTACAACCGCACTAAGATACTATTTTTACCTCTTGAATTCACAAAGATAAAAACACTGCAGCACAGCACAGCACAGTGGGACTGTGGAAAAACAAACACTTGCACATGGCTGGTGAAGGGAATCAAAATTAAAAATTACACGCCCTTCGACTCAGCCACTTTACTGCCGGGAATTTATCCTAGGGCTATATGTACACATGTACAAAGTGACCTCCATAGAAAGCCATCCCCACAGCAAAGGGGATTCCAGCAAGAGTACGAGCCAGCTGGGCACACTGCAGCAGGTAGACTGCTATGCAGTCATTAAAAAGGACAAGGATGCTCTTTGGGAGGGATACTGGAGATTGAACCCAGGGCCTTTGCACTGAGCTATACTCCCAGCGCCTTCTATTTTTATTTTTTTTTTATTTTGAGACAAACTCTCACTACATTATAATATAATCACTACATTATAATATAATCACTATTATAATATAATCACTCCTGCCTTGGCCCCCTATACCACACCCACCTTGGGGATATTCTTTGTGTTGTGATATAGAACAATTTCCAGAATGTTCTGTTGAGTGGAAGTCTCAAGAGACAGAACAGTGGGTGTAATGTACTGCTGTTTGTGCAAAGGAAAAAATATCTAGGTATTTGTTTAATATTTATAAATAACATCTGGAAAACTATTTTTTAAAAAGCCACACTGTAAATCCTTCTCCATTTTGTGAATTTGGAACATTTACCTGGTCCAAGTAAATAAACATTCAGGTGTCCTGTCCCCATCCCAATCAGTACTTGGGGACCAACACGCTTGCTTTACCAAGCAGTCATCTTACAAACGTCCAGAGCTGCTGCCAGAACCCTGGAGGGCGCTCCGCTTTCTCAGTGTCCTCCAGAGGAGGGAGCACTGTGCCGTCCCGTGAACTGCCAGTCACCCCGAATCAGCGAAGCGGAGAACCTTACCGTACAGACTTCACCACAGAGTCCACACTGCCTTCCTTCTCCGGGCTCCTCCAGCCCAGTAACCCGCAAAGACCGGCTCGCTCCCGCAAACTCAAGCTTCTGGGCCTCCATTTACAGTGGGCACAATGGGCCCTTCTAAGCCCTGGATCACAGTCTTGGTTTCATATTGTGCCTTTCTTTTTCTTTTTCTTTCTTTTTCT